ACTGAGAGCCAGTATTTGCATAGATGAGGATACTGCCTGAACCATATCGTTAACAGAATGTTTGTTCACTTTGGCTTAGTAGGACTTTAACTTGTTAAAGATGTTTTTAAAAGGCTATTTAAATGGCAGCTACCTGACATAACTGTACAGATGAATCTAATCAAATAGCTATATCTTAAAGGGATGGTTCACCCAAAAACAGAACTACTACATTTACAAGGGTTTAATTCTGACCTGATAAAGTAACCTTGATCAGCATACAAACCCTGTTTATTCCTCTTGCATTGTGTTCCTCTTACATTCCGGCCATAGTAGGAATCCATGGCACAGCAGCTGAAAAGATCCGACCAAAGGTGTTCTTTAATTCATTGTTAGGGAACTGTTGTTCACTAGTGACAAGTTGATTCGAATGAAGGTGAAAAGGTAGACAAAAACACACATTTGGAGTTTATGTACTCATATTCTCATGTTGTGTACGGGTTCAAATTTATTTGTCCACATTCAAAGCAGAAACGCTGCACAACACAACAAAATCACATTCAATTTAGATGTATTTTGTGTTTTCAATTCAATTCAAATTTATTTGTATAGCACTTTTCACAATACACATTGTTTCAAAGCAGCTTTACAGAAAATGAATGTGTCTACATTACAATTTAGAGTGATCTGTTATCAGAAGTGAATGTGTCCAAGTAATGTTCATTTCACAAATGAATAGTTCAAGTTAATGGAAAGTCCTAGACTAAAAGTCCAGTGTTTCGTGACCTTAAAGAGTGTGATGGATTATAGGGCTTAATGGCAACTTGACTAATATGACCTTTAACTGTCTCAGCTTTAACTGTCCCTCAGTCAGCACTTGTCCCCATGCAGTGTAGCTACTTACCTGCACTACTTCTGCATTAGCTGGAGAATGAGCATACAGTATAGCTTGACCAAACGGCATGGAGTCACATCTCCCTGCAGTATGAGTGCAACAACATAATTCACTTCGCAAACTCAGCATAATGTAGAGTTTGCGTTGTTTCTGTTTGACTCTGTACTCTGCAGTTGTGGATGGAAATTCTGCCATCGTTTACTCACTCTCCTGTTCAGTGGCGTGCACGTACAGACCTCTGGAGGGGCAGGGGAGTAGTGGCATTACAAGGGCACAATCGCGGTCCGTGGGCACCTAGATCAGACCGAAAGGGTGCTTTAGCGTCGGTTATTATTAAAAGGGCAGGGGCTCGAACCCTGTTGCACGCCACTGCTCAAATCGTATGACTGACTTATTTCCTCACGGTCGAGGGTTGTAGTTTCGTAGTTAGCCAGAGAGTGCGGCAGGGCACCATGAAGCGGTGCAGGAGCGCTGTGGGAGCTTGTCATGCTACGCGGCTCTACTCATGGGTTGAAAGCGCCTCAGCCAGTGCGGGACTGGCAACATAATCCTAAAAACAGGTCACAAGCATCATGGTTACTTCTAGCAGCATAGCAGGTTCTTCTTATCACGTAAATGCAGGCCTGAAGCAGAATCTTAATGTATTCCCACAGTGTAAACCATCAGTGAAACCCAAAAAAGACTCATGGATTCGATGAATAAGTATTGTCACATCCCTTTTACACATCTAAATTGGAATTTTTTAGTATTTAAATAGTTTAAACGTTTAAACAGCTGAAATTCCTTTAAAAAGTGAATGTCATAGCACACGTACGTCTGCACGTCAAGATGTGTTAAAGATCGCTTCATCTGGAAAGCATCTACTGTGTAGCCTACTACAAACATCTTATAGACGTCTCTAAGATGTCAGTTTTACATACATTATAAATCATAAACGTCTTAAAGACATTTTCTAAACGTCTATTTGACATCTGATAGGAAACGTCCTATAGACTATTAGCAGATGAACAAACATTAAAAAATGCGTCTTGCAGCTGTTAAATAGACTTCTCTGTGATGTAAGTTTGCTATCAGCATGGGCGTCGGAACCATTGAATGAGGGTGGGACAGGTAAATAGCCACTACCAACCAGGCGGCCTATTTGCACTTTGTGTAAATAGACACTGTTAATTAAAAGGCACCACACTACAGAAAATGGCATATACTCCAGTAATTTTTTTTCTGGGGGAGGACCCACCCACATTTATTTTGCTTCCGACGCCCATGGCTATCAGGGATAATTCCTACATTGTTTTTAACTTTCAAAATCAATATATTACTAATTGTTTCGATGCAATTAGTCAATTAGCAATTTGTTTTTTCTCTCAGAAACTGTGGTTGATCAACTTTAATTAACCTACAAGTAAACGTGACTCTCTTTTCAGCCACAAGAGAGCGCTGTTCTCAAGTCACTAATTTTGTACACTTTTTCCAAAGCTGGCCAAGTGAACTCCAAAAACGATCCAAGTGACTTGAGGCATATATATATATATATATATATATATATAAGAAAAAATTGTTAAAAATAGTCTAAAAGATTATTGATTTTTATTTTTATTGAAAACAAAAGCCTTTCCGATGTGATATGAGATGTGAAAAGGGAGAAGAACGATTTCGGCAAAAGGCGGACGCGAACTCTGGTCGCTCGCATCAAAAACAGTACGCGACCCGCGTTACCACTTACAGCAGCCGTCTTTTGTAATGTTGTCACGTTAGTGGGCGGAGGTGAAGTGAAGTAAATAGCCGCTGCCAACCAGACGGCCTATTTGCACTTTGTGTAAATAGACACTGTTAATAAAAAGGATGAAAAGAGGAAGGGCATGTAAAGAAAATAGACATTTGGTCGGGACAGATGAGTCACTGTTATTAACTGTTGTCATGACTTCACAACAGTGCCCTCCTGTTGATGGTTGTCAGCCACATTATAAGCAGTGAATAACTGAGACTGTATTCAACTTAAGAATTCTAAGTAACAATAGTAATTACTGTAATGTGCAAAAGGGAAGTCAGTGTGACGTGATCCTTCCTTCTACTGAATGAACAGTACAACGTTTAATGTAGTTTTGCCTCGAATATAAATCACTGGGAGGGTTCTCACAGTTTTCTCACAGATGTTACACTACTGCCACAGTACTGGAGCCCTATGAGTGCTATACATAAAGGCCTTCCTAGAGCCTAGGCAATGTTCCCAGCTGTTCCCCCTGACGATTGCTCCACACAACTTTACTTTAAATAGCTTCATGTGTTCTGTTTCCTCAAAAATGTTGAGTATCAGAATAAGAGCACACATTTACCAGTGAAATACATATTTATAGTAGGCTAGTCCTTTCCCCTTCCCATCATATGTAGAGAAAACTGGAATGACTTGTGGGAACTAAATATAAACACTGATTACGGAATTTGATTACACAAGCTGGCAAAAGTACAGTCTGTTTCTCAACTGCTTTTTTGTGTTTGTTTTGTTTTTTTGTTTGTTTTGGTGTAATTCATAAGTGGGATAATCTTGTGCAATGGACCATTTTTGTTGTTAATGTAACTAATAGCCTACCAAACAAAAGCCTATAAAGAAATAATCTTTTTATTTCATTTTCAGAAAGGCAATTTTAGACGTCTTTTAGAGCATTTAAATAAAGTGATTGATTACATTTTTTTAATACAACTGCATTTAAAGGCCCTATTTCAACAATATTTGTTGATATTCTGTCATTGTTAATCTACTACAATTGAAATGTAAAGATTAATTTAATGAATATTAAATAAGAAACATGTTCACCAGTTCTCCAATGTGAAATAAAACAGTCAAATAAAATGCGGCAGCTGTGCTTGTGAAAATGTTTATATTGTCACTTATTAAAAATATAACAATATATTTTTACTATATGCCTTTTTAAATAATATTGATTTCATGCTTTTGTACAATATTTGACAGTACAATTAATTAAAGTGTAATTCTTAATTGTTAAATTATAATTGTTTCTTAAAATATAGTAGCATTTTTCACTTAGTCAACCAAATAATAGGTTTTTATTGTAACATTTTACATAGTTTTTGTGCTAAAATTATTAACATTTTTATATTGTACAAATGCCATGAAAAAAGAATATTCTTCTCATGACACATGTACAATGCATGCACCGTCATGCGGAAAGAACAATCAGTGCTTATTTCTGAACATTATCTCAGAAAATGAGAGAGTTGCATGTTGTTCCTCATTCCCAAACCAGCATCACTGATGAGCTTCATAGCAGTCTGCCAATGAAACAGCTTGTTTACTACGTAATGTCCTTCAGGAGAAAGACAAGTGATGAAATATTTAAAGTTATTGCTGAAATTTTAAATAACACTGGTCATGTTCATGAAGTGTGAAGGTGAACATCATGCAGGTACTTCCCAGGTGACATAAAACATTTAAATGCTAAACTTGTAGAGATGAAATCATCTGAACTAAGCAATATAGTGGTCTCACCCTGTGTCCCCCTCATCATCAATAAAACAGATATAAAATACACAAACTCGTACTCATACTTTACAAGTCTTGTAAAGCAAGAAAACTCCAAAACTTGAGTTACAGTCGATATTCCATAACTTAATATAATCACATCAGTAATGATGTATAATGATGATTATGATAACACTCCTTTATTTAGACTTACAATTAAAATGTTTGATTGAATTGGGGGGAAAAGATAATATTAAGCCATCAAATATTGTTTATCAGTGGTATAAAGAGTTATACCACTTTAAAAAGTTTTAAAAGAAAATGTCAAAAACTCTTAATCCTCTGGGGTACATAGTTTAATATTTTTCTCAATGTAATTTTTTTAAATTGTATTAATAATCAATAGAGGTACAATTTATAAGAAATATA